GGTTTTAATTCCAAAACCCAACAAATCTCTGATTTGGGCTTAAAATTTGAAATTTTAGTCTATGTTTTTTTTTTTTTTCTCCTCCTCTTCAAAATTGACATACAATAAGTAATTTTATGTGATGGCAAAAATAATAATTAAATTAAATTAATTTATCAACAAAATTAAAAAATATCAATTAGTAATGCGAAAAAAAAAAACTCTAAAAATAACTTATTTGAGAGTGAATTCATCATTAATCACTAATCATAATGTTAAAAAGTTTTATAAAACACTAACATCGTAGCGGTTTTACCACCAAAAAAAAAAAAACGATATCGTAGCGGTTTGGTGGAACCTACAAACCATTGCACCAAGTGTACAATCATTTGTTACTGTTTACATAAGCAATCATATCTCAAAGAAAACCCTAAATTCATCCCTAATAAATTCCCCCAAAGCCAGCCGTCCTACTACTACATCAACATCACTCCTGCTCAAACAGATCAATGGAGGTAAAACCAACATATACGGAAACACACACTTTATTCCGCCGGTGTTTCCTTCCCTATTCGCGAATCGCTGACAGTTCAAATCCATCATCAATATAAGAAAGCTTTCTTTCTTCAGTTTTTTTAGAAGCCTCAACACATACCAACACAATCATGTGGATTGTCTCCATGCTTTGCACAACGTAATATGCGGTCAACAGAGCCATGTATGCTAAATGTGCCTTCAAAATCTTGTTTGCCTTTCCACTCTCCCAAGCAGAGTCTGGAGCTCGCTTCTTTCCCTCTTCTTTCTCCTTCTCTGGTCCCTCGTCCTTCTCCGGCCCTCTGCCCTCCGGCCCTTCGTCGTCTGGCCCCTCGTCCTCGTCTTCATCCTCTTTCATTTTCTTACTCTGGTTTTGGGCTTTTAGAAAAGGCCATAATTCATATCCCCTTTGCAAAGCTTCTTCTTCCCTTCGCAAAAGTTCAGCTTCCCTTTGCCAAACTTCCCTTGGCAAAACTAGAGTTTCCCTTGGCAGATCTTCGCAAATTGCAGCTGCAAACCAAAAAACAGGAAAATCAGGAAAACAAAATTATGGCAAAATTTTCCCATGCTTTAGCAAAATTAATCCAAAAGGAATAAACAAAAGGTATGTTACAAATGGATTCAGAACCAAGTCTCTGTCACGCCAACTTATCATAAATGTATAACAAAGGTTTATTAGGATTAAGAGGCTGTAAAGAAAAGGATCAAAGCCATCATGCTTGCTTGAAGAATAAGGTTTTGTAACATCAGAGTGGCCCATGACAATTAACAAGGACCATACCATTTTCTTCAGAATTATTCAAATTCATGAGTAAGACAAGAAAATAAAAACAGAATCCAAAAAATAATTAATAAATAAATTATTTCTATGAATCATATTTTAATTTTTACAGAGTCTCATCTGTCATAATTAACACTAGCACTAATTAAAAAGAGTGATGGTAAGGAATACTAATAATAATAAAAAGTTTAACACAAGACCTTTTTCTATAAAGATTTGAAAGCCAAAAATGCTTTTGCAGGATGGGATTATATATTTTAAAAAGGATAGCATGCGGTAAAAATTACTTAAATTTGATTTTTAAAAAATAAGCCAAAACTAGAGAAATTAAAATTTAAAAGAAACGAACCTGTGCATGAAAGGCTGACACCCAAAGGTTTTCCAAGGTATACAGCAATTCTTTTATGTCCATTGGCAGAGGCCAGATCGGCAGGTGTTCTGCCACCAAGATATTCTGGTGATCGCTTTGTTAATGCTCCAGGATCTGCACCCAGTGAAATGAGGGTAGCCACTGTGTTCTCTCTGAAGTTGAAGAAAGTTTATGTCAATAGATACAGCACAGAAAAGATCAATGAGTCAGAAATCACTGAGAAAATAATACATAGGCTAAGCATGAAATGTCAGATGATATGGTATTTTTCACATTTTTTGAATATGAAAGTTAAGAAAGATATATTTTCCTCATTATGGAGTATTTGCTAACATATAGAGCCGTTGTTTTAGAGTCTTCTTTGGATCTTCTCTTGTGGACAAAAGCAAAATACTCAAAAAGGGAAAAGATAAATAAACAGAGGAAATGGTACACATTAAAGAAATATTCAAAAGAATCGTAGAGGTGTTCACCTGCCACAAAATGCTGCCCAGTGAAGTGCAGTCCATCTATTCACATCACGGAAATCAACACTTACCCCAGCAACTATAGTAGGCTCCAAAGCCCAATCATAGCCAAGTGCAGCTGCCAAATGTAGAACACCTTGTCCATCCTCATCCAATATGCTACAGCCTTTACCACCTTCAGCATCCTTCTGTAAGATCCATACAAGCAACTTCTCTTTCAGTTGCTTCTGAAGCAGCTGGTCCTTTAATTTTTCAACGGAAAACTCCATTCCTGAACCAGTCTTTAACATCTGGTCCAATTCTTTGTTGTCCTCCTCCAGCAATGAACTGATTTTACTGCTCAACTGGGATGCATCCTCTAAGCTGCTGGTGACAGGATTAGTGGCACTGGAGCCGGAACACAGTATTTTGATAAAACGCCGAAGATAATTTGCTTCATCACTGTCACTATAGTTTTCAGCAGCATTTATAACTTGGATATCCAATTTCCCTTCAGAGGGAATGCTCGAAACATCAATCTCATCACTCTCTTGGCCTTGCGAATATGGACATGCTACTTGAGCCTCTTTAACACGATCAGTGTCTTCACTTTTTCCCTGATATAATTTCAGAAAAAGAATATAAGAAAAAAGGGCTCTATGATGAAATTGTTCATGCATCTTATTGACAAGAGTAAAGATTATGAAAAGTATTGGATCCCATTTGATTTTACTAATGTGTACGTCCATAAACTTATATTAACATGTGTAATATAACTTGCTTCTGTGACAGTAGACATTGAAGGCTTTAGATATAATTTTTATCAGGTCCTCACAAAGCTGTGATATGAAAGTGTGAGGTTACTTTCCTTCAGAAAGAAGGCACCAAGATAGTGGAACGGGAGGAAAAACATAGCATAAATCTGGCACATGACAAACGGCAACATTTTTATCACCTTATGGAAACAACTGTTCATTTTAAAGTACAACTCAACAGCAAGCAGTCGGATGGTTGGGGGTGAGGATACTGGTAAAGAAAAATAAAAGATGGAGACCGAAAAGGAACATCTTGGAAGACATGAAAGAAAAAAGACCAAGTCCAAGAAAAAAGGAGTAAAGATATTCCTGGTTGGAATCAAGGAATAAATTACTTCACATACCCAAATATAATAAAGCTCTATAGTTAAGAATAGTCAAGAGTTAGACCAAACGTTAACCATCTGATAGTATATTTCTAACAATATATCTGGCATGCTCCTATAAATATTTCCAAATGAAAAAGACAACAGATTATGACATGATATACCACATATCTCACCACAAACACTATGTAATACAGCCATAAATTCCAGTGACAGACTATACCAGAAACCAAAATCAAGTCAATTCCCATAAAAAAATCTAAGTCAATGAAATTGTGTCCTGCTAACCGAAATTTTGCAGACTCAATGGAAAAATAAAAGGAAAATGAACATAATCAATGTGGGAGTGTCATGACCTGTCCTTAAATGCATAGAATAAAACCTGTTAGCCCTTAATTAGGGGGATTTGATTTAAGAAAAGGAAAGTTGGTGGTTGCATGGCTAATTTCGTAAAAGTTGCTTAGTGGAGTTTGATTGACTAGCACTAGCTTGTCATGTTTACACTTGTCTTATCCCATGGTCTTATGCATGTTTTGATTTAAACATTTGAGAACTCTTTTACTTTCATTTTCCTTTTACAACCGCGAGAGAGGGAGAGGAGGAAAGGTTTGCGAAGGGCAGCTTCTGTTCTCATCTTTTTACGGTGTTTCCTACTTAGCAACTGGTATATATTTGTGCTTATGGGCCGACCCAGAGGAGAGTAACAGTTAAGGAGCTGCTGATCAACCAGTGAAGAAATTGAAGGAAATCCGAGGAAGTTCCACCCAGGATAGCAATGGATTTGTTTGGTAAGTACAAGTTACTGCCTTTGTAGCTTAATTAGATGTAAGATGGTAATTACATGGTTTAAAATGACTCTAGCATTAAGCTAATACAAGTTAAAGTGGGTTAGAATGCTGTACATAGCTTATTGGTGATGGGTTTTTGACATGCTGGTGGAGATTAAGGATTAGAATCAATAACTTATTGTGTTTGAGAATGTTTATGAATTGTAGACATGATAGACAAAGTTTAATGCTGGCCGTTGTTAAAGATAGCAAGCATATAACAAATCAGTAAATAAACTTGCGAAGGCTAATAGGCTATATTGTAGCTATGTTGTAACTGGAATGAAGATGGGAGTCCAATTGTATAAAAGTAACTAAGGGATGAAATAGTTATAATAACCAGATTTATAGTCTGCAATTGATTCTATTGACATAGGGATTTTTGTATTAAGTATGCTAGGCATCTCCATTGTATATGCATATCAGGTTCACTGGTTATGATGAATGAATATAGACTGCCTATATTCTGTAATCCTATGTTGATACCCAAAAGATGTTATCAGATCTATTTGTTATTGAATGCTTATGATCAAAATGACATGAGTTATACTTAAATGATATTCAATGGTCAGGGATGATTATTATTGATACTTATGATCAATGAGGTACAAGATCCTATTGAGAGCATTGAAACATTGTCGCATACAACTTGCATTGCATTGTTTTCTATGGGGGGTTATTGACCTATGCTAAAAGCTAGGTACTATTTTGCTCAAGTGAGCAGCCATGGTTATTGTTATTGACCACTGCACAGTTGGGTATGCCATGACAAGTTCTGGCAGAATGTGAGTGTACCATATATTGATTAGTTGACCCCATGCCATTGTATTTGTATTGAGCACATATCCCTAGAATACTTTCTGTCATCAAGGTTAAGGTATTAGACATACTTTCTGAGATTAAGTATTGAAGCATGAATTGAGTGTGCTTGTTTGCTAATAGCTTTATTGATAAGTCCATGCTTGATGTTTTTTCAATTATTGATGACAGGTTGATTCAGCTAAACCTACTGTTTTGTATTCTGTTATAACTACAAGCTTATGATGGATTAACCGAATGATCTTCTTAAATTGATTAAGAGTTCTACCATGGCTCTAAGCTGTAACTTATACTTATTGGGCTTCATGGCTCACATGGTTCTTTTTCCAACCATTTCAGATTAGTCCCAAGAGTGGATTATAACTGGGATTTCTGGAAATTTGGGAGCTTTCTGTGATTGCTATTGTGAACAAGCTTACTCAAGTTTTTTAAGGTAAACTTGAACCCGCCGAAAACTGTATCCTGGCTCGAAGCTCTTTGAAAACCTATTTGGGTTACTCGTAAAACTATTATACCTTTTTTTTAAAAAGAAGAATTTATTTGCTGACCATATGTATAATCTAGACTTTGGAACTACACTCTGATTTTTCTTGTTTAATCCAATATTTTAAAGTTCAGGCTTCCTGCGCTATTGACATGATTTTTCTAAAGCTATTTACAACATTGCAAACTTTAATATAACAGCTTAGGCTATAAACTACAGAAGGTTCCACATGGATTTTGTCTTCTACCCCACCAAAATCTTCTTGAATTTTTCTTAAGTGAATGCTCCTTTTTGTTTAAAACAAGCACTGTTTTTAAGTCATAGTGCAATCTTGACCTTTCTAAGGGAAGGCTTCGGTTTTGGTTATGACAGTGAGCCATGAAAAGAAAAGTAAAATGAACATAATCAACGCATGAACTTATAATTTGCCGGTTCATTAAATAAAGAATAAACAAATTATGAAGCACATGGATGTTTCATGACAGCATTTGGCTGTTCTAGTTCTGTTGATCACTCACTCGACCTAGACTCAAGACTGTGTTCTTAAATTGACTTAATATAACTTCAAAATTTCAGTTTAATCA